TTATTGGATACAATTTGCCTTAATTGATCTCTAAAGGGAGAATGCAGGATAAATAATGATTTTGGAGCCTTTATTCTGCAAGCCAATACAGGTGTGATCAATCAGTAGGATTCTAAGGGTCAAATAAGAAATGAAGATATAAGAAAAAGTAAGAAAAAGGCACAAGCATGCCACCACAGAAGCCATGAGAAAACCTCACTCAGTGCAAGTCTAGAAAATCGGTTCTCAGAGTGGAAAGTCCGAGGCTTTGTCTTGGTGAGACCCTCCGTACCGTCAGGCAGCAGTTTAGGAGCCACAGAGCTGTAGAATGATTTCACTGACTCTACTATGTGCTGCCTCACTTCAGCATCGGACACCCTCATCAGACAGCCTGCCAACAGAAACACAACCGTCAGAGTCATCCTCACCCCTGAACTGGTCTTTAAAGGAATAACTAGCACTTTAGCTATACAAGAGAAATAAAGAAACCAAGGCAAAAGATACAAATGTAGGAAGGAAAATATGGACTTTGTTATGTCTAGCATTAAGTCAACAGATCTGTTGTCCTGCTGCACCTAATGTGTATGTATCTGCCACAGAAAACAGTCCTGTATAAATGCAGTGTTTACTACTCTTTAAGTTATTTAATGCTTAAGCTATGGTGTCCGCTTTTGTGAGAAAATAACGGAGCGTTTTTATTCAAAAAATGTACTTGTATCTATTTTTTCAAGAATTCGCTTCAGAATCAATGTGTTGACTGCCACTGACATGTTTTGTTGATCAACAAATATATAGTGGTGGAAGAAATACTTAGATATTTTACTTAAAGGGGACCTATCATGCAAAATGCACTTTTGTACGTCTTTTATACATGAATATGAAAACACAACCCTCTCTATTTTCCTCCATACCCAAATCTCTAAAAAAGATTCAAATATAGTGTAGGACCATACCTATATAAGGCATATTTATACTTTTTCTTTTTCAAAATACCAAACAGATCATGCATTTTAGCCATGCCTCATTTCGCTCAATTTGACATTTTTTAGCTCTGTTTTTGCAAGGGCAGATTCTGTGAGAACAGCACCATCTACAGGCCTGGCATATGTACTACAGCGTCTCCAGCGCTTTCGAACGGCAATGGCCGTGGCTGTCTCCTCCTGATTGGTGGAGTTGGCCCAATAGCCGTAGCGCCACCGTCCTGACGTCAGGACAGTGTTCAAATCTGGATCAGTTTTTATCAGATCCGTTGCAGCCCCTTTTTTAGAGATTTGGGTATGGAGGAAAATAGAGAGGGTTGTGTTTTCTGACACTTGGTGAGTTCCCTGGAACACCGGGGACACATATTCATGTATAAAAGACGTACAAAAGTGCATTTTGCATGATAGGTCCCCTTTAAGTAAAAGTAGAAATACCACAGTGTAGAAATACTGTTACAAGTCCTGCATTCTAAATCTTACCTGTGTAAAAGTACAAAAAATATTAGAATCCAAATGTACTTGAAGTACCAAAACCAAAACTACTCTTTTTTTTCTCCAAAATAATATTTTATATCAATATAATTAGTGATTCATTATTGCCTATATCATTTTATTTTTGCAACTAGTAAGGATTGAGCTTACTAACTACTTTTCGTACTGCTGGGTATCATAATTCATAATAGTACATTATAATATATTAGTTGATTTATATTTGTATTACTTGTATTAACCTGAAAAGCAAACAGTAACTAGTAAAGTACAATATTTGCCTCCAGAATATAGTGGAGTCGAAGTAAAAGGAAGCATAAACTGGAAATACACAAGTAATTTACGAGTACCTCAACATTGTACAGTACTTGAATACATGTACTGCACCACTGCACATATAATAGCCTTATCCTTCAAGTTTGAAGTCTTTAAAGGGGACCTATCCTGCAAAATGCACTTTTGTACGTCTTTTATACATGAATATGTGTCCCCGGTGTTCCAGGGAACTCACCAAGTGTCAGAAAACACAACCCTCTCTATTTTCCTCCATACCCAAATCTCTAAAAAAGGGGCTGCAACGGATCTGATAAAAACTGATCCAGATTTGAACACTGTCCTGACATCAGGACAGTGGCGCTACGGCTATTGGGCCAACTCCACCAATCAGGAGGAGACAGCCACGGCCATTGCCGTTCGAAAGCGCTGGAGACGCTGTAGTACATATGCCAGGCCTGTAGATGGTGCTGTTCTCACTGAATCTGCCCTTGCAAAAACAGAGCTAACATTTTTCAAATTGAGCGAAATGAGGCATGGCTAAAATGCATGATCTGTTTGGTATTTTGAAAAAAAAAAAGTATAAATATGCCTTATAAAGGTATGGTCCTACACTATATTATTCAAATATAGCATGATAGGTCCACTTTAAATGAATTTCCCTCACATACTGAAAGACGCATTTTGAAACTATGAACCAACTTGAATACAGTGAGTGATCTGCGTACCCATGTGAGAGAGAAACTCTATGACGTCCTGCGCGTAGTTCAGCTCATCAGAGGATTTCTCCTTGAGGAAGGGAAGCCTGAGAGGAAGCAGAGCAACATCTTGAAAATGTCACAACAACGACAAAAATCTGTCTTCTTAGTGTAGGTTTGAATTATTTCTGTTTCTTACCTACAAATGTCAAGTGCCTCACAGAAAATGGGCTGATATTCAGGGTGGTCTGTCACTTTCTCAGCACAGATGTTGAGTATTTTGGCGATGCCTGTCAGCTCCTTCAGAAGCTTAAATCATTTAAGAAGCTTAACATTTGCAGGTTGTATGAGATTGAGGGAGGGGAAGTGATGGGGCAAAGAGTCTCGATGAAAACTGAGGTTATTTCAGAACAGGGAAAATGCTGACAGATACAGCGTTAGGGCGGTAAATTAGAGCCTTGGGAATGACGTGTGGCTCTGTGTTCAGGTTGCATGAGAACACATCTATTTCCATCTCTGCACCGGGGGACAGTAATGAGGAACATTTGACTTTCTGCTGCAGTGTGTGACACCTGAGAGAAGTGTGAAGTGTAGGTGAGAACACTGACTCCAGAACGAAGGATACAAAGCCAATTTGGCTTCTCTTCAGTAGTTTCTTCAGTACAAAGAGGTGCCTCTCCTTCAGGTTGACCTTTAGTAAAACAAACATGATGAGATATGACATCATTTAAAACAGATAATAATCTGGTGAAATTCAAGTTGAACTTACTGTCAAGGGATCCTCAAGAAGACGAATCACCTTACTGAGTTCAATACTTTTAACACTGACCTGCAGAGAAATGACAGTTTAGGTCAACATTTACCCTGTCTGTCTTTTGCATTTATCTTTCGCATGTGTCCTAGACTTTTTGAGATCTTGACACCTTTTGTAAAGCACACACAAGCTTCAGACCACTCTTCATGGCACTTTGTAAACTATAGTACTCTGGCAAAAGTATATGCATTGCACTTTATGAGAAGATCTATAGTGCCTTACGAAAAGCAAGAGATAACATATGCCTTTATACCTTTTTCTGAAGTCTCTTAGTTAGATAAACAACATTTAGAGCTGTTATGTGATCCATCTAGCAATTGGGCGTAAAAATATTTATAACAAGTACAAAAATATTCATATAAAATTAACTCTATATAATAGATACAATACAAAAAATCCACATGGATGGGGGACGTTGGTAAAAAATGTCATTTTTCTGCATTGTAAATGTAACCATGAAGTAGCATAAATCAGACTACACATGGTATCTAATTATATCCTGACTATAATCCCCAAATCAACCCATACCCCTTAGAGTACTAAATGTCCAGAGATTCTGCAAATAACAATAAATAACTTACATAATGTGAGGGTTTTGCAAAGTACTCAGGGTCTGCAATTATGTTTTTCCTCACCTGCCACTGTGGCATGAACCTGAACATTTCTATCTGTAAGTTGGATCAGATAGTACTATGTAATATATCATGTCACTTTAATCCTTGACTTTTAAATTATGAATTGTTTTCAAATATATATTTCTTAAGATAAGGAAAAAACTAACCTCCATGGTGGCAGGTGTCATGAAAAAATGACCTGCAACAGCCAACATTAACCTTGGATCTGGCATGTGGCAGATACCTGGCTGTTTCATTATACCAAAGTCTTTCTAGGATACATAAGGATTTGTATACAGCTTTAGTATCTATATACTGTATATTTGTGTTCCTTTTAATTTTGAATATTGAATGGTCTACATTTATATTTGTGCAACCCTGTGATTGTATATTATTACACTTAAGGATCTTCTATCTACATTACCAGGTATCAGGGATTACTGACATTGAATAAATGATGAACAAGCTTACAGGGGACACTTTAGCAGTAGCATCATAATAAGACAGAACTGCTAACTGTTTACCTCCTGTATGTGCTGTTTCTTATCCGGGGCTCTTGGTCCAATTACAGGAATGTCCGGTTTTCTTCGGTGCACAAATCTGCTTGAATCCATTTCCAATATATTAGGGAACTTCCTGCTTTAAATTCTTTGCTCAAACATTGTCGGTTAATTTGAAGTTTGTCTCGCGGGGGGTTCCAGTTAGTGAGTAATAGTCCGTTCAAACTAACACAAAATGTTCCAGGTATACTGTCAAACCTCTGTTTTCTTGCTCAAAACAATTACGAGCTAAGGTTAAAGGAAACATAACCTGAACCTGTGTTTTCCCCCGCATAAATAGACACGAATAAAATATCTAAATACTCTGCGTCTCTGCTGCTGTTATGTTGCCACGGACTGGAAGCGCAGCGTTACTGCCATTGGCATGGTAACCGTGTAGTACGGCGAGCAGCGGGGCTCAAAACTAAATTACAACAACGTAACGCCCATTTCCTCTTCCAAAGCCGGAAGTGGTATTTTTGCAACAACAACGCATTGATTTCCTCCCACAACAATAAAAGGGAGACAAAATCTTACAATTAATAAAACCCGCATCTCAAACTGACATAAACGTCAATAAATCACCGGGTTTTAAGGAAGCACCGCAGTCAGCCATGCTGTCGGATGCAGGTCAGTGGTCATAGCAGTTAGCATTTAGCCTACATGCTATAAATGTGACAGGCGGACATTGTGTGGCAGGTTTAAAGAGCTTGCTTATTTGTCCCCATATTTGCTGTGTATACTTACAATTTAACCTCGTGTTTCATTCGCTTTAATGTGTTAGTTTGTTTCTTAAATACGATACAGCATGTTAATGTCACGTTATAACAGCCTTTTCAACAAGGCCCAATGTGAAGTGTTCTTATGTTTACCTTTCATTTGTGTTTTATACTATCCATAGTAGGCTAATTATTATTCGTGCACTGTTCATGTAAATACTTTTTAATCATCTTACATCTGCAATACCTGCACTGGTATCACCTGATATTTGCAATACCTGTATTTTTAGCATATACTCTAATATAGTGACAGCTTGTTCTGGTGGCTAGATTACTTCATTCTTTATGCCTATATGTGTTGCTTTTTTTCTCCCATTTAAGCTATTGCATGCCTACATTTCACTTAACTTTCATTTTAAGAATGATTTGGTGGTTCATACCAAAAATACATAACAAACAAACATGCTATATAATAAATAAAAACAATGACAACATAATATTTTTCATGACATGAGTTTACAAGTTTAAAAGTAAACATAAGCATCAAGGACAAGATGATTTTTATTCTGAAAAATTAAAAATAATCTTAAAACAGTATGTTGAAATTACAAAAAGTACTCAAATAAACATTCAACTAATTAAAAATAAATACATGTAACAAGAAAATGACCTAATGAGGTATTCTGCTATTTTGTCACTTTTGTTTAGACTATTCTGGAAATGCTTCTGGGGCCCGGCGAGGAAAGAAGAGGAGCTCCGGGGAATCGCCGGGGGACAGCCAGACCCTGCGCTCCTCTGGAAGGCAGAGCAATGTCCGGGTGAAGCGCACCAACAATCCACCACCTGGACAGGTAAACTGCAAAATATATATGTTTTTCTATTGTTGTATGCCTTTGTTTTTCAGGTGGATACTCATTTGACCAATAAGTACACTAGGACTTAATATATCCAAGCCAAGCCAAATTGCAGGATATTTAATCTCAAGGATTCCCTTTCTTGTAGAGCAAAAGAAAAGCCACAGACACAGAGGAGGAAGACGACCAGTCCGAGAAGAAGTACAGAAAGTGTGAGAAGGCCGGATGCTCTGCCACATACCCAGTCTGTTTTGCAAGTGCATCTGACAGGTAACATGTTCCAAAATACACTGACTATGCGTAAGTGCCTCATAAAACCCCTCTTCGAAACAGCTGAACTTTCCCTTTTATTTTATATTTGGACACAGATTGTCTTAATGTGTGTCTTTACAGGTGTGCTAAAAATGGATACACATCTCGCTGGTATCATCTGTCGTGCGGTGAGCATTTTTGCAACGAATGTTTTGATCACTACTACAGAAGGTAATGTTGACAGAACAACTCCTCGCATAACATTAAAGGAACAATGAGTAGTATTTGCTTAATATAATCCACAAAATAATCTTTCTTAATCACCACTTATGGTGTGTTGTGCTCTGTATCTGCAGAGACCCTTTAGCCCTGCCTGTGCCCACAACTAACAAATATTCCTCATTGTGCCTTTAATAAACATGTTTCAGTATTTGTTGAAATGTATAGAGTTGTTGCATTAATGCCACAAAATTACTTTTTTCTTTTCCCCCCCTGGCAGTCACAAAGATGGCTATGAGATATTTGCTTCCTGGAAGAAGGTGTGGACCAGTAATGGGAAAAGTGAGCCCAGTCTCAAAGCTTTCATGGCAGATCAGCAGCTACCATTCTGGGTAAGCACAGGCAGCGTCCCTGGTTCCTCTTTTACAGTTTAAACTGCTTCTTCTAACTTCTACATGTCACAAATACATTTATCTTTGATGGGATGTGTTCCTTTCAGGTTCAATGTACTAAACCGGACTGCAGGAAGTGGCGTCAGCTGACCAAGGAGATCCAACTCACGTCTTCCCTCGCAGCATCGTACCGCTGTGGGATGAAGTTCAACAACATTAAAGTAATGGCAAAATAATTCTCCAGCTATTCATAAGTGACATATACTTTGTTTGTTTTTTTGTTGATTTTGTGCCTTTGCCTGCAGAGTGAGGGGCCGGACCATTGCTCCCAACCAGAGGACTTGGTAAGCTGCGGATGTGTGTTATAACTTTTGTTTTTGTTATCACAAAGAGAGTGTGTAAGCTACTATTACTTTACTTTAGTATTTCCATCCCCTTTAATCTGATGCTGTTTCATTCTCACAGAGAGTGGCTGAGGTGATGGACAGCTGGTGGCATTCAATGTTGATTTTGCCGCCGTTGTTCAAAGAAAGTCCAGCCAGCCCGTTCCTCGCTGCGTATTACCCTGACTGTGTGGGGATGAGTCCGTCCGGTTGCCCCAGCAACACGTCACTGTCTGAGCTGAGGGCCGACCACTGCAGAGCCGTGCAGCCACAAAGTGAGTCAGTGGATGTGAGAGGAATAGAGATTTATTTTAAGTTGAACTTTGATTTCAATTTTTGCTTCATAACATGAAACCAACACACATTTTCTTAATTTTTTCATCACTTGTTCACATCCTAAGATCGTAACGACATAAATTCAGTCAATCTTTCCTGAAGAATTGACAATATTTATTTTGCAGTTTTGTTGTTTCAGTCTAATTGAGTCCAGGAAAGCTCTCTCCTTCAAATTACAGTTATAATGGTTGAGAAATCAATGGAATATGGGCATTATAAATATTTGGCTTTTACCTGTTACATTTTGGGGTAGTATTCTAATTTTAAAAACTTTACATTTTGCCAAAATCCCTGCACACATTCCCAAAATATATGTGAACGATCTCCAGCTATCCACCATTTTACCAAATAAGGCTATGACTAAACCTTTGTCACACATCGAACTATCATTAGAGATCATTTAATATATTTCACCTGAAATTGTTTATGCTTACAGCCTACGATTGAGAGATATTGTCCTAAATCATTTTGTATCGTGGTGTAGTGATCATGATTGTTTCCTCAGTTCCAGGCCTGTGTCCATACTTCCAGCCCTTCTACCAGCCCAATGAGTGTGGCAAGGCTCTGTGTGTGCGGCCGGATATGATGGAGCTGGACGAGCTTTACGAGTTTCCAGAGTTTTCCCGTGATCCCACCATGTATTTGGCTCTGCGGAACCTTATTCTGGCCTCCTGGCACAAGAACTGCAAGGTACACTGCAGAGAACACTAACTCACAAATAATGCATGTTTTCATCTTGGCTTTTGACCTGGAACAAATAAAAAAGCAAAGTCACATTCTCATAAATGGCAAACATTTTCGTATTTTTCTTCAGGAGGTGCTGACTTCTCAGAAATGTGCCCTCCACATCATTGTGCGGGGGTTGGTGCGTGTGCGCTGCGTGCAGGAGATGGACCGGGTGCTCCACTTCATGACCAGGAAGGGCCTCATCAACACCGGCGTGCTGGCAGTGAAGACGCCTCTGCTGCCTGAGAGACACTACACTGTTAGTTTCCTCATCTTCAGCTCATCATGACACTGCAATCTCATGTAAAAACATTTCTTTGCCTTCTCATGTTTTATTATTCTTGCAGAAAAATGTTATCATCGTCGGTGCCGGGGCTTCAGGACTGGCTGCAGCACGGCAGCTGCAAAACTTTGGCACTCAGGTAACTAGTAAATGTGTGTCGCACATCTTCTCAGAGCTCCTGATTTACCCTCTCTGCTTGGTACAGTGCTGCCCCTTTACACTCTTCATTGTCATTACAGGCAGAGTTGGAAAAGTACTCAGATCTTGTACTTGAGTAAAAGTAGAAGTACCAGAGTGTAGGAACATTTTGTTCAAAGTAAAGGTCCTGCAATCAAAATGTTACTCAAGTAAAAGTACAAAAGTATGAGCATCAAAATATACTTTAAGTACCATAAGTAAAAAAATATTCATTATGCAGATTGCTCCATTTCAGAACAATATATATGTTTTATAATGATTGATCATTAAAGTGTTATCATAGCTGGTAAAGGTGCAGCTAGTTTTAATTACTTTGTATACTACAGGGTAGCTTGTGAATTTACTCCAGGTGGAACTAAAGTCTGATTTAAGAGTCGATTATATTTCACACAATTAATCAAAATCTGTAAAGTAACTAAAGGTATTAAATAAATGTAGTGGAGCAGAAGTACAAAGTTGACTGAAATTGAAAAAAACTCAAGTACAAGTATCTCAAAATTGTTCTTAAGTACAGTACTTAGTTACTTCCTAACTCTGATTACAGGTGGTGGTGCTTGAGGCTAGGGAGAGAATTGGAGGCCGTGTGTGGGATGACACTTCACTGGGCGTCACTGTAGGCCGAGGAGCTCAGATTGTCAACGGCTGTGTGAACAACCCCATCGCCCTGATGTCTGAACAGGTACGATTTTAGTAAGAGCTCAATAGGCAGTCAATAATTCCACATATTTCTGGTGTGTATTAAAACGTATCTTAAGTCTGTTTGAAGTAGATATATACACTGTCTTGTGACATCTTTGTACGTGACTCCAGGATGTTTGTGTTTCAGATGGGCATCAAGATGCACAAACTGGGAGAGCGCTGTGACCTTTTCCAAGAAGGGGGACAGGTTACAGACCCCGCCATCGACAAGCGCATGGACTTCCACTTCAACGCCATCCTGGACGTGGTGTCAGAGTGGAGGAAGGACAAGTCTCAGAACCAGGACACGCCCCTGAGAGGTGCTGATCATGAGTGTTTTCATTTAATGTGTGAGGTCCCGCAAAGCAACTTTAATGAGTGGTACAAACAGCTCAACAATCAGAACGATGCGAGGGAAGGAAGAAACTCTTGTACAAAAAATTATAAAAAGAAAAAATCTATTTATTTTGAAATGTACTGTCTTACTTTGCACTTTATATTTGGCCTTATTTTCAAATAATTAAATGTATTTACATTTCCATTTAAGCGGCCTGACTTTGGGCTTAACCAGCTTGTTTCATGGCCAGTTCATACTTGTAAAAATGTGCAATGCAAGTCAGAAGGAAGATATGCTAAGAAAAAGAGGTACATTTCGAGATATTTGACCTTTAGTTTTGTGCATTTGATCTCTACAGAAAAGATCAAGGAAGTGAAGAAGAACTTCCTCCAGGAGTCGGGGATCCAGTTCAGTGAGCTGGAGGAGAAGGTGCTTCAGTTTCATCTCAGCAACCTGGAGTTCGCCTGTGGAAGCACGTTGGACCAGGTGTGGGAAACTCACACAATGAACAGCTGCAAGAGTTTTTAAGTTTGTTTTATAATGTTAAGTGTCAGTTATTACCATATTTTAAGATGTTTTAATGAAGATAATTACAACTGATTTATTCAATTGAAATAAAAGAAATCTCCAGACACACAGGTCCATATTAGTATAAATAATTAAATAAATACAAGTTGACAACAACACAGAAATAGGACTATTGCCTGTGATTAAAACAAACACTTTTTGTTGAACATATCTTACATTTTTCCTGCCCTTGCAGAATCAGAAATGGATTTGCCAACAAAGATAATAACAACATTGCATGTGTCTGTCTGAGATTTTGTTCAGGAAAATATCCGCAATATATACATGTTTTTTTTTATCAAGACCTTTTTAATTGCAGAAAGGAAACCCTGTTGACATTGCTGCGTTCTGCACCTTTTGTGACATTTTGTTTAAGTGGGTTTTGATGTTGTGTCATCAAAGGAATTGCAATACAAATGTTTTCATTATATATGTTTTTATTCGTAGGTATCGGCAAGATCTTGGGACCACAATGAGTTTTTTGCCCAGTTCTCAGGAGACCACACTTTACTCACCAAGGGCTACTCTGCTTTACTGCACAAGCTGGCCGACGGCCTCGACATCCGCACCAAGTGCCCGGTCCGTGATTCACTCTTTTTGACTCCAGCTCCTATTTTTACCTTCTTTAAACTGCGCTGAATATTACAGAGACAAATACCAATGTTATAAATCTAAATCAGCTCTACGTTTTCTTGTTCCATTCCAGGTTCAGGCCATTGAATATTCAGGTGATGTTGTCAAAGTTACCTCCTCCAATGGCTCACAGTGGACAGCACAGAAGGTAGAAACATCTTAATTTATGTTATAAAATAGATAACATCATTTCAAGACCTTTTCGGGCAACATATATACACTCAGAAAATGTGGATGTATCCAATATACCCTCTGTAAATGTAAATGAAATTTGGCGAATGCTTTTCAATTATAATTAACATTTGGATATTGTCCACCTTGAAGCATGGTTCGTCTGTGAAAATAAAATATAAAATGGCTTTTTGTGGAAGTAAAGGCCTACTGTAAATACATTTTTTATATACAAATTCTAAACAAATGTAAACTGATTATTCAATTTAATTCCGATTCTTACTTAAACGAAGTATCTAAAAATGCTATAAAGCAGACATAGTCATTGAAATTAAAATATCTATTAGATTTTCCATTTTTTGCTTAATTTTTACAGAGAAATGCCCATACTAGTAGAGAAAATCTAAATGTAAATTGCATTATGGAATCTTTATTTAAATGTCAACCCATTTATTGTATATAAGTGTGAAATTAAACAGTTTTTGTGAGATTACATTTCAGTTTAGTCTACCAAGTGCATCTATAATTCATTGCTGACCACCCTGTTGTAATTATCTCTTGCAGGTGCTTGTTACAGTCCCATTGACTTTGCTGCAGAAGAACATGATTCAGTTCAACCCTCCGCTCCCTGACAGGAAACTGAAAGCAATCCACAGTCTGGGAGCCGGCATCATAGAAAAGGTAATAACATTTCTTATGCGTGTTGTAAGTAAAGCAAGTAAGTTTAAGGCTAAATATCAAAGATTTGCTTCTTTTTAGATGCTAAAATGCAATTTTCGAACCTCTTCCAGATCGCTCTTCAGTTCCCGTACAGGTTCTGGGACAACAGAATCCAAGGGGCGGACTACTTTGGTCACATCCCACCCAGTCCAGACAAGAGAGGCATGTTCAGTGTCTTCTACGACATGGAGCCTCAGGTCTGTTAATACTCAATTTCATTCACAAAGCAAGACAACATGTTACACCTCTACTATGGATGAGAGAACATAGGATTTTATTCTGTATTGTGAATATAACATATCCACACTAAGGTGATCATTGTGGATATCCATTGTTGGAATAATCGGGAATTTCCTTACATGAGTAACTCGAAATGTCTTCTAACTTTACACTCCTGTCAGAAATTACACATACCGGTAATATGTTTCTATCTGGGAAAATTGGTGTTAGCTACTGGTGTCTGACTACAATCCCAAATACAGGAGAAATATTTGTTTATGTTTCTGTGTGTATGTGTGTGTAGGGGAAGCAGGCTGTCCTCATGTCGGTCATCACTGGTGAAGCTGTGGCTGCTGTGCGGGACATGGAGGACAAGCAGGTGGTGGATGAGTGCATGAAGGTCCTGAGGGAACTTTTCAAAGAGCAGGTAATGAAACAATGAAAATACTACTTACGCATGCAAAGTCCTTTTTCAACCAAATAGTCTCAGAAACTGAACTTGGGAAAAAAATAGCTTGCGGTTTAGACTTATTTAGACGTTTAAAAAGGTGCTACTCTGATGTTTAAATGGTTAAAAAGGAGACAATGTCCTCTGCCCTGGTAGTTCTTGGGCTATCAAAAAGTTATTTGCCCAAAACAGCCGCGTTGTATGGACCAGGAACTAAACTCATTCCTTCTGAAAATATATCCTGGTATAAAAAATATTCTATCTATCAACACAAAATACACCTATAACCTTTTACGAACAGTATGTTTCGGAGTTAGTTGTGTTTTTTTGTGGGTGTTTTTCATTACTGTTTACTGTCTGTCATCCCTAGGAGGTCCCAGAGCCGGTGCATTTCTTTGTGACACATTGGACCAAAGACATGTGGTCCCAGATGTCCTACAGCTTTGTGAAGACGGGGGGGGAGCGGAGAGGCCTACGACATCCTGGCTGAAGACGTGCAGGGAAAAGTCTTCTTTGCTGGAGAGGTAAGTACACATCAGACAACTAACCAGTTTTATTTATTCCTCTATTTCTTTTAGAGATAAGATAAATCTTATCTGTAAGTATTCCAAGGTTGCCTTGTTCTATGCAACACTGGAACCACTATTTAGCTGGAAAAAAACTACATCTATAAAAGTATTAAGGAAAGAATATCTAGATATGTGGATATATAAAGAGGAATTAAAAAATATGTTGATTAGAGAGTGTGGAAATATAAATACAATAAATAAAATAATAAATCAACATGGAATTAAAATAATTATTTCTGTATATATATTTTCCTATATTTAAAAGAAAAGCGCAATTCATGAATTAATCATTCTTTATTTAAAAAGGTCTCAAACTACCTAAAAAATGGAATCATGATTGTTTTGTCAGATATTTGGTCACTTTCTGGCTTCCGGAGATTTTAAAACAGTTTTTAGTTTATTTGTTTTCTTGGTTTGTGTTTCCAGGCCACCAACAGACACTTCCCTCAGACTGTGACCGGAGCCTACCTGAGCGGGGTCAGAGAGGCCAGCAAGATGGCTGCTCTGTAGACTGCCACTGAACACTCAAACACACCAGCATGGACCCTTAAAGTCTGCAGTAACCTGAATAACTCTATAAATGACACTTCACTGTTATGGGATGTGTTTGACCAGCAGGACGCCGTCTCTCTCCATCAGCCGGGTCAGAGGCTCTTTTCAAGGCCAGGCTCTTCATTTTTAACGAAAGAAGGCTTAAGACTTTGGTTGGAAAACAATTGTTGGTAACCAGATAAAGAATTCATAGCAACACACAGAAAACAGCAAACCCCTGCGCAGCTCTGCCTGGGTCCGCTAGGATGGAAAGCAGGATTACGGTATATTACATTTGAGTTTAATTTGTGATGTATGTAGCACTTAATGATGAAAAAAGTCAGAAAACGTAATTTTGAAAGATTAGCTTTGCATGAAACATTGGTTTACTCTCGTTTTATCAGGAAGTAAGTCAAATTGTATCTCCTTGGTTCAAGATTCAAGTGATTATATTTAAATCTATTTTCTTTTGAGAGTTACCTACCAATGTTTTAAGCAGATATAATACATTTTCGTTATATGTTGGTACAAATTGAAGAAAGGTTAGACATATAGTACTTCTGTGATAGCACTTTTGATTTAAGCGACTTTTTGATTTAAAAATGTTAAGAAAATAAATGAATAGTTCATGTGTAAGACAAGTTATATAGTGAGTATGATTTGAGGATGGTCCCCTCACTGTCTCAGGGATGTGATCAAGACACCTAGCAGAACATAATGGAGAATGGACAATTGTGAAAATGGTTGGGAGAAAAAACACAACCAACTGGAGAAAAACTTCATACATCTGTTTTATTAATTCCTGAACAATGAGGTTTGGGGTCGGGGAACAGCACAACGATATCCTCACTTTCTGTGATTAATATTGACTAATGAAGCTTTACATCTCTGTCCTCATATCTCTGTGTACACTAGTTGATCATTTCCTGTTTTGTCCGTGCTTGAGTATTTATCTTGTTGGTGTGTAATAAACTGAGCTATCAACTGCTGTAATGATCCCTTCACTTGTGGAGGAAGATTTGTCTATGATTTTCCCCTTAATTATATTGATCAATTATTTGTAAATTGTGCATGCTGCGACTGCGCATGTAGCAGTTGCTTTTTTTAATCTTTTACTTTTTTTTCTTTTTTCTCCCTTCTTACTGTGATCTTTTTCTTTTACTAGAACTTTTTAACTTCTATTTAAACTAGCATTTTAAAACACTTAATGATGGATCCCATTTTTCATTATTATTTTATAAAGTGTTATACATTATAGCATAATGCAAGTATTTTAATATCATTTTTTGGCTCTATTTTTCTTATATTTTCTCTATTTTTATATTGTTGTGTGGGAGTAGCTGTAATAGGCGCTTTCACACCGGAGTAATTTTACCCGTACTTTTCCCGTTAAGTTCCGTTAGTGCCTGGAATTTTGCGTTCACACCAAAAAGAGAACTTAGTTCAGAGAACTTTTACCCCCATTTTAGTGCCTGCTAGAGAGGTGGGACTATCCTGGGAAGAAAAAAGTACCAATTTCTGATTGGCTGGGCGAATTGCAAACCACGCCCCGTAAAACTCTGAAAGGTTTTTTGAAGCCGCCATTGTATTTTCTGGCATTAGCATTATTAGCATTAGCATTAGCCCCGCGCACCAACGGAGAGAGAATAACTTATGGCAACACAAAAAAAAACATAGGAGCGGTGGAGTGATGAGGAGGTGTCCCCAACTCCGGGGACTCCCGGCCGGGGACTCCGGGTGGCAGTATACGCCGTGAAGTTGTTTGCGACCTGCCAGTAAACCCAAAGCAGAAGAAGAAGAAGTGACGTCAGCGGCTTCATTTGCGTAATCTTCCCTCAGGGAACTTATTCCGGTGTGAACGCGATCGGCTCTTAGTTCCATGGGGGTACTAAGTGAGTGCTGGGAACTAAGTACGGCAAGAGGGGTCTGCCTGCAGGCCTCCACTCTCAGGACAGTTCCGGGGTGTTTCTCAATGTCGAGTAAAGCTGCTCCAGAGCCACTATTTCAAGCATACTACGTCATCGAGTGCCGCCGAAGGACTGTTCCAATGTCCAGCATACTTGGAATTCTACCGAGCCCGGCGTACTTCGTAGCGAGACATTTCGAGGCTGCACATGTGTAGACTCCGCGGTCTTAAAATCCCCACAATGCTTTGCGCACGGACCAATTTCCCTAAATCTGTGGCGGAAAATGTAAGGCGGGGCCTCTCATATGACGCACACCTGCACACTTGCTCGACTGTTCCACTCTTCGTTTTCCGAATGCCAGGAAGTATTCTTGCCTCGCTTCTGAAGCAAGTGACTCGGAAGACATGTGCTACCAAGCAAGCGTACTCGACATTGAGAAACACCCACAGGCCGTTTCTCAATGTCGAGTAAACCTGCTGCAGAGCCACTATTTCAAGTATACTACGTCAGCGTCGGCGCCACTCGATGACGTAGTATACTTGAAATAGTGGCTCTGCAGCATGGATATATAATAGGAAAGAACGAGACCCGGGCTGCATCTCAGGTTGGTTAAATGGAATCCTTGCGTCCCTCACTTGCGTCGTTTCCCTGCGTTTAGTCCCTCCCACCAAGGAAGCATGGAGAGACGCAAGGAAACCACGAGAAGCAGGGAAATGAGTTTTAAGAGCAATGGGACGTCCTTTCCTCCGGAGCGTCACGTGAAGCGACGTCCGTTTGTGATGACGCCGCACAGCTGTTCGTCTGACAGCAGCTCTGTCCCCGTTGTTTTCACAAACACCCCCGCCTCTGTTAGTACACATTTACTGACATAAACATTTGTATCATCTGTTGTAGACCCAAATACATTAAATAAAATAAGAACTCATTCTCAAAAAAGATAAACGCCATTCTTAAAATGTATAAACGAACAATAGTTAGATTAATATTGATTCAATATCAATGCACAATAGAAATAAAATAATTGAGAGAAGAAAAAGAGATATGTTATCCATCAAAACCCAGTTAGATTAACATTCATTGGATTGCACACTTTGTTTGTTTGTGTGGAAATGTAGCAAATTAACATTTTAAATAGTACTTAAAGGTGGGGTAGGTAAGTTTGAGAAACCGGCTCGAGATCGCTAGAATTTTAAAATACACAACCGGAGAAAATCTGCCACTTCCTTATAGAGCCCCTCCTCCAACACACACGAACGCGCACATGACCAATGAGGGCACGAGATAAGTTTGTGCACAGATGGAAGGCTGACAGGCAGGTAGGCCATCTAGTTATTTTAGCCGGGCCGGCTAAAATGATTGGTCGTACTTTTTACAGTATTACGGCTTCCACAGATGACATTTTTTTATGGATTTTTTGTACACTTAAGATATTCATTGCTATCGGGATGTTAAGAGCATTCCATGGAATATAACAAAAAGTGTATCTCGAGCCGGTTTCTCAAACTTACCTACCCCACCTTTAATGACTGACTGAATGGAAATGACAATAAATGAAAATGTAAAACGAAAAAAGCGATCATGAAAATGTTTCCAATAAATGAATAAAATAATTTTTGACCACTTCGTTGTTCAGATATCACATATTTGTAACTAAATGATACATTAATTGAAACAAAACACAGTATAAACTGAGGAGTGACTCTCGTGAGTTTCATGTATTTTCTTCACTCCGCTGGGAAACTGCTCTCATGTCAAGAAGCATCAGATCAGTGCATGCGCTGCATCGTCCAATCAGTGAGCGATACACAGTAAGGGGGCGGGGCGAGTATATGAGGATTTCATCGGAGGATGGTCTGGTAGTTCCTCGATTATCGCTCCTCCCGGACCGAGGAAATTAAAATAACCGACTTGAGATGCAGCCCCCGCCTCCGACGCTGTGAGTCAGCTGAATCGAAAGAGAGCACAGATATACGCAGGACTGCAGAAGGGACAAGGCTGGAATGGGAAATAAACAAGTATTGTGAGATTGAACTTTGTTCTCACAGTTTTATGCAATTTAAGATTCGACGGTTAAGTCATTCAAGATGGAAAGTGGGAATGATGTCGGAAGACTCAACGAGTACGCACATAAAAAAGGATTTACTGTGGACTACAGGGAGTCTCCACCTGATGGCCCAGACCAGTAAGTAATTTATAATTTGTTACCGGTGGTGGCGGTGGTGGTTCTAGTGGAGCTAGTGGAGCTAGTGGAGCCTCGCAGCGGCCACTGCTGCGTATAGGGAGGGGCGGCCCCTGTATAATAACGTCATATATGCAGTCATTTGGTCTTTAGCCACAGCTTGTGAGACCAGCGCATTCATCGGTGTTCGTTTTAATGCTGCCAGTTTGTTGACGGCCTGTGTGTTGATGGGACTTCTCATGCTCCCTACATTTTTCCCCTGCCTTTCGCCAGTTGTTAAACCCTGCTTTCACAAAACTCCCATCCCTGATCTTGTCTGCACTGACGAGCTTATTTTCTATAGCAGAGCAACAGAAGAAGCACACCGCATTATCACTTTCTCTTATATAGTGAAGCTTTTTATAGACTGCTTAACACTAAAATGCTAACTCAAAAATAGTAACTCAAAATAAAACTTTTGTATTGATTTGTATAGTGAACTTTTTGGCGTTGCGGTTACAACTCTCCGCCAACAGATGGGGGTGCTGCATCCCCCTCAGCACCCCCCCTTCCCGCGTGTGTATAATAAGAACTGGGTTGCGGTCGAATACTCCAAAAAAACAGCTCCTAAGTTCTAACCCTATCGTCTATTCCTTGACCTCGGAGTGAAACGTCATGGGGTTAAGGGATAGTGGATAGGAGAATTCAAAAGGATTTAGGAGAAGAGACTGCGGTACTTTAGAGAATCCGACTGCACTTTCACTATCCGACGTGTTTATGATGCGCCAGAGGAGGTCATAAATGTGCGCCTGCTGCGGTAGGGAAACTATGGAAACTACAGTTTTCTATACAGTGGACTACAACAGGGATGTTTAATAAGAACGAGGGACTACTGTAAACTCTGCACCGTGCTCTGATGCTGTTGTTTTATGCTTTATGAACGGGGACAACAGAGAAACATATTCTTCATGACCAAAGTTGGAATTGAAATAAAAAAGGAAACTTATGCTCGTCACCCTCTCCCTCCGGTCCACATTAATACAAATGATCCCAATACGTATGATTGTATGAACTATGAAAAGATCTTAAAAGCAATACAAATGTATTTATTATAAACGTTAGTCCTTAACATCTATCACTGTGTATACCACCATTCAAACATCTTTTTAAAAGTTGAACAAACCCCACACAGCTTAGTAAAGACTGAAATGTTGACTTTATTTGATCATTTCAGTAAAAACTAACGTTCATATTTCTCTTTTTGATTATAATACTGATGAACGTTCAAAACAAAGCACTTTGGCAATTTACCACATACGTTTTGAACCGTAACTTTCATGATATCATTTCTCGTTCATAATCGATTGTTTCCGTGAACGGCCGACTGTTGTGTGACGGCAAATGCCGCGGCCGCAAGGCATTGTGGGGCAGCATTTTCTCCTCTCCTTTCGGTTAGGGAGGTCCAGTGGTTCCTAAGCTAAAGGAGGTTATAAAGGAAGTTTGAAACCTCCTTTCCTTTTAATTTAGAGAATTCGAACGGCACTTATCATGGCTGCCACTGAGGGACTTCCGGGTCATTTCACTCCGTTAGGAAGGTTCCTAAGCTAAATGGACTATTCGACCGCAACCCTGGGGTGCGTTTCACTCATGGATGTATAGAGTGGCGAAGTCCCTCCCCTTCCGGTGGACCTCCATGGGACCTTATTTCGGAAAAATTATGTATTGAAGTCAATGGAGAGAGAAAGATTATCTTTCGATCCCGTTTGAATTGTGCCACGAATTACACATATGATGTTTGTCAATTTAAAAGATAATTTTGCAAGTCAAAAAAAAAAAATGTGTCGTAAAACTGTGAAGTAACACATTTGTTTGTGTGAAACGCTCAATGAACTACATCTCTGGTCAACAACACACGTCACCAAGATGGCCGTCACTACTGTCTTGTCAACAAAACGATTGACTACCCTCACTATCTCCACAATGAAACACGTCCTGAAGAATGTCATGCAAAGCTGCCTGCCTGCCTTCCTTTGATTCTCTCTGAACTGCCTGGTCGTTTTAATGTTTAATGTCAACCATTTGTGCAGATAGCATGAAGTAGAGAAGATCATCGAAGCTAGCGTTAGCATTTCTCCTCCGGGCTTAAATTGTGTATTATAGAATGATCACACCGGTGACAGTACTCTTCAAAGGGTTCACGAAATATGACTACTACTCTTACTGTTTAACATTTTGGGTTACTTAATGTTACTTCATGTTAAGGCTAATAAAAATGACAAGGCTGTAATGCTAACTAACGTGCTAGCTACTAGCTAGCATGATCCAGACACTGCTGGTCCTTTCATCAGACGGGAAGCGAAAGAACGAGCAAGACCCATTGCTGGTATAATAACAACCTGGTACTAAGCACACAGGCATCTTGTTAAAGTTATCTTATCTTAGCCAGCGCCATATAGATAGATTCTATCTATATGGCGATGATCTTAGCTTAGTGGAGGAAAACAATTGTGACATCACTTACGCGACTCTGGGATTTGTAGTCTTCCTAGTTACGTATTTTTCATAGTCTTATATTTCAACAGTTTTACGACAAACTGTGACTTTTTTGACATGGAAATTATTTTTTAAGATTGACAAACATCATATGTGTAATTCATGGCACAATTCAAACGGGATCGAAAGATACGTTTTCTCTCTCCATTGACTTCAATACATAATTTTTCCGAAATAAGGTCCCATGGGGCTGAAGTAGATGGGCGTGACTTCGCCACTCTATAATAAGAACTGGGTTGCGGTCGAGTACTCCAAAAAAACAGCTCCCAAGTTCTAACCCTATCGTCTATTCCTTGACCTCGGAGTGAAACGTCATGGGGTTAAGGGATAGTGGATAGGAGAATTCAAAAGGATTTAGGAGAAGAGACTGCGGTACTTTAGAGAATCCGACTGCACTTTCACTATCCGACGTGTTTATGATGCGCCAGCGGAGGTCATAAATGTGCGCCTGCTGCGGTGGGGAAACTATGGAAACTACAGTTTTCTATACAGCGGACTACAACATGGATGTTTAATAAGAACGAGGGACTACTGTAAACTCATCTAGAGACTCTGCACCGTGCTCTGATGCTGTTGTTTTATGCTTTATGAACGTGGACAACAGAGAAACATATTCTTCATGACCAAAGTTGGAATTGAAATAAAAAAGGAAAGTGAAACTTATGCTCGTCACCCTCTCCCACCGGTCCACATTAATACAAATGATCCCAATACGTATGATTGTATGAAAATATCTTAACATCAATACAAATGTATTTATTATAAACGTTAGTCCTTAACATCTATCACTGTGTATATCACCATTCAAACATCTTTTAAAAGTTGAACAAACCCCACACAGCTCAGTAAAGACAGTGAAATGTTGACTTTAATTGATCATTTCAGTAAAAACTAACGTTCATATTTCTCTTTTTGATTATAATACTGATGAACGTTCAAAACAAAGCACTTTGGCAACTTACCACTTACGTTTTAAAATGCTTAATAAGCACCGTAACTTTCATGATATCATTTCTCGTTCATAATCGGTTGTTTCCGTGAACGGCCGACTGTTGTGTGACGGCAAATGCCGCGGCCGCAAGGCATTGTGGGGCAGCATTTTCTCCTCTCCTTTCGGTTAGGGAGGTCCAGTGGTTCCTAAGCTAAAGGAGGTTATAAAGGAAGTTTGAAACCTCCTTTCCTTTTAATTTAGAGAATTCGAACGGCACTTATCATGGCTGCCACTGAGGGACTTCCGGGTCATTTCACTCCGTTAGGAAGGTTCCTAAGCTAAATGGACTATTCGACCGCAACCCTGGATACAGCGTGGGAGGCGGGGCCTCATTCATTCCTATGAGAGTTGCTCATTTGCGCATGATGATAAAATGGCCCAACTTTTGAGAGAGCGAAACGTCACAGATTACCCGGCATGCCTGAGAAGTACCCGTATGTGCGCTCATAGCGCATGCGCAACTTTAACCATGCCCCCTAAAATGCTCGTTCACATCAAGCACGTCAATTTGCGTACACGTAACAGCACCGCACGTTCATGACAGCATGGTAATGGTTTGTTATTATGATGGATTTGATATTAACGAGGCGGCAGTTAGCAGCTAGCGGTTAGCTAGTAATTATGCTAATTTACACATCAATCGTTATGTACTTTTATATTACGCTGTAACAGGATCTCGTGATATCCAAGCAACAGAGCTTCATTTAGCATGAAAGAATTATTGCACTGTGTACATATATATATATATATATATATGTGTATATGTATATGCATATATATATATATATGTATATACAATTCGCCCAGCCAATCAGAAATTGGTACTTTTTTCTCCCCAGGATAGTCCCACCTCTCTAGCAGGCACAAAAAATGGGGGTAAAAGTTCTCTGAACTAAGTTCTCTTTTTGGTGTGAACGCAAAATTCCAGGCACTAACGGAACTAAACGGGAAAAGTACGGGTAAAAGTACTAAAATTGTAATTCACTACGTCTGAGTGAAAAGCAGAAGTCTAGGGCAAATAATTGCAAGTCTCTTCAGTGTGCATGTCTCAAAATGAGATGCATTGTGGGACATGTAGTTTAAACGTGCTTCTGTAAAGCGACATTCAACCATAATAAACGTATTATATTCTTTCAGAGCTCTTGCGGGCCACATAAAATGAAGTCGGGCCTTGAGTTTGACACCCCTGCCTTAAGGAGTTCTTTAAAGAAAAAACAATGTGCATTATTTTGCGATCATTTGATAATAAGGACATGGACGTGGAGTTGTTGGCGGAGAGTTGTAACCGCAACGCCAACAAGTTCACTCAACAAATCAATACAAAAGTTTTATTTGTTTGTTTGTTTATTTATTTAAAGGACAGTGCACATTAAAACACATTGCTGTAAATGAGCCAGTATTAGCCAGCAGGCTAATTTTCAACTGTTGTCCTTGGCAAGATGTTAAATAATAATAATAATAATTTTGAGTTACTATTTTTGAGTTAGCATTTTAGTGTAAGCAGTCTATAAAAAGCTTCACTATATAAGAGAAAGTGATAATGCGGTGTGCTTCTTCTGTTGCTCTGCCATAGAAAAGAAGCTTGTCAGTGCAAACAAGATCAGGGATGGGAGTTTTGTGAAAGCAGGGTTTAACAACTGGCGAAAGGCAGGGGAAACATTTAGGGAGCATGAGAAGTCCCATCAACACACAAGCTGTCAACAAACTGGCAGCATTAAAACACTAGCACCCCCCAACTCTGACTGACTTCCCGCGTCCCTGGTTAATTTTGAAGCTATTACCCTATCCAATAATAATCTAATGCAGAAGCAATAATGTAATATAATACATTATTTTATACATGTACATGCACAGGCTTTTAATACTAGTCGAACATAACATTTTGATATTTGTATGTGTTTTTATATGTTTCTAGTTATTGTGCTTTTTATCTCGTTTTTAATTATTGTTTTATTATTTTACTCCTATTGTGTTATTTTATATGTGTTCCCTGTACAGCACTTTGGTCAACTGAGGTTGTTTTAAATGTGCAATATAAATAAATAAAGATTGAGATTGAAAGTTACAACCGGCCCTTTGAGTGCAACCATAATGCTAATGTGGCCCACGATGACACCCCTGCCTTAAGGGGTACATGTTTTTGATTTTTCCATGGCCCCAGTGCTTCTACAAAAACAATAGGCCCATAAAATACTCAAAATATTCTAGGAACAACTGTTTAATTATTGTGATGGTGACTTACTTACTGTTTCCCTGAAGTAAGTTTTCTCTCTGTCAATTAGTTCCATGCAAATTCAATTGACATTATTTTCAGGAAGTGACATAATAGATTTGAATGGAAGTCAAGTAGGTTGAGCATAAACTTTCACTCATGTTTTTTTCTTCTATGTTTCATGATGTTGATCTGTTTGGCTAAATAACAGAATATAGGTTGTCTTACCAAACTGAGTTAGGTGCAATTGGGCTATAGGTCCCATTTATTCTGATCCAGACCTGCTAAGACCTGTATTCTGTAATATCTTAAAAAAATTGTATATTCTGGTGAGGTAAATGCGATAGTGGTAAAAGGTTGCATAACATAGGATCCTCAAAAATAAGTATGAGTTTGTAAATATACTGTGTTAAATGTACGCTTATTAATACAATCACCATTGAAGAGGGCTTTAGCGCCTACTACTTGGAGGAGTAGAGGCTTAATAATAGTGTGCAGATGTAACTTAATGCACCCCAACTCCAGCAACATTATTTCAAGTCTGCCCGAGTAACATTATTTTGACAATTGCTCTACAGATTCACCCAGAGGGTGGTCCTGAATGGTATAGTCTATCCTGAGGGTGTGGGGAAGACGAAAAAGGAAGCCAAGAAAGATGCTGCTAAAAATGCCCTGAGAGACTTGTCAGAGGGCACACATCAGGTATGAGTTGCGACAGTAATATTTGTTGTCCTCTATTTTTAACAAGCCCCTATTATTAAAGGTAGTCACTTACTCAGCAGGGCACAGTCCTCTGGGTGAACTATTGTATCTCAATATGTATTTTTTTATTTTCAAGACTGCAGATGACAATCACAACCCTACACCAGCTCAACAAAATTTCATTGGATTAGTTAACAACTACTGTATGATAAAAAAATGCCGCCATACATTCGTTGAAGTGAGGAGAGACGGTCAACCTCATATTCATCAGTGAGTATGAACCGGAACCACTGTTACCTGAATAGACACTACAGACACTCTATGGTAACTCTTAATTGACATTTACCCCTAGATTCCACCGGGTCCGTCTGCGGCGCGTTACGGCCGCGTTACGGCTGCGCCGCGGCGCTCACGGCTGTCGCGGCCACTCTAGTCAATGGGTGCTATTCCACCACACACGGCGCGTTACGGTTCAGAAGCGTCCCAGAAGCGTCTCGGCGCAGGGCTCCTCTAAAATTAGGATGAATCCTATTTTTGACGCGATGCAGCCGTAACGTAATGTCAGGCAGGCAGGAAGTGGAACGTTCAGAGCATATATAGCATATATATATATATACACACACACACAAACTAATTTTGCAAACCCTATCCCTCCGTAGTCTTTCAAGTAGGAGGAGAAATGCCAGCGTTCTCCTCCGGTTTACAGGCACTGTGTAAATTATATATATATAGAATAATTATGATGATGAATGCATTTTTTTACCACTAAAATACAGCAACACATCTTTGATTCATGTCGTTTATAACTGGAATATTACAGTTATTATTAACTTTGTCTGTACAAAGTAGCCTGTCCAGGAAATATGCCCAAATCAACCAAAACTGCGAGCCGGCAGGCAAGACGCTCCGCTTCTGAAATGCTTCTGAAACGCGCCTGGTAGGGTATGACGCCGGAGGAGGCCGGACCAAAACCGCGGCGCAGCCGTAACGCGGCGCAGACGGACCCGGTGGAATCTAGGGGTGAGTCTTAAAGGTCTCCTATCATGCAAAATGCACTTTTTGATGTCTTTTATACATAAATATGTGTCCCCGGTGTGTCAGGGAACTCACAAAGTGTCAGAAAATAAAACCCTCTCTCTTTTCCTCCGTACCCAAATCTCTAAAAACGGGGGTACAACGGAGCTGATCCAGATTTGCTGCCGATGTGACGTAATATCAGAAATGTGGGCTGGCTTTACACCCACGGCCCTATCAGAAACGTCGCTATCAGAAACAATGCGCGACGTGTTTTGGACGTAATATGGTCTTTGTTTACATTAGCAAGCATCCTAACACTCAGAGCAAACCTGTACTGGAGAGAGTATTTGCAAAAAAGCAGGAAATAAAAAAAGGAACTCACCTTGTAGTAAACCCGCAAGAAAAAAAGCATTTGAGCTTCATACTGTTTCAGAAATAATCCTTGAAGTGGTTTGGAACATGATATGGCGTTTCATCACGGCAGCATTTAGCTGAGTATCTGCAGGCAGAGAGGAGACCTCACTGCTTGCCTTGCCATGCTCAAAAGGGGGCGGGGCCAGCAGCTACTGACCCAGAATCAGCCATTCTCTAACAGGACTGAACCAGAGGGATATGAGGGATGTCTAAAATGCATGAACTGTTTGGTATTTTGAGCAAAACACATCATAGGCATGTTTTTTATATATTTGTATATATCTGAGACCCATAATATATGCCTAAAAATAGCATGATAGGAGATCTTTAAACAACATTAACATTTTAACATTCTGATCTAAACTATTTCCATCTTTAAAAAAACAAACAGATTCTTCTACAGATTAATAATAGACAACAAGGAGTACCCTGTGGCTGAAGGTAGGACAGTCAAAGAAGCCCGACAAAATGCAGCTCGACTTGCCTGGCCTGCTCTTAAAGAACAGATGGATTGGGACAGCAAGGTATTTTATATTGTTGTACTTCACCATGAAATATACACTCAATTGCCAGTTTATTAGGCTCACACAGATAAAACGAATGCAGTCTAACACAGTTCTAGTAAAGTGCACCTACTAAACTGGCACTCAAGGGTAGTTTATATTTCCTGGTGCTTTAGTCAGCTGCTGTACAGCTTTTATTTACCTTTGCATAAAACAATCAAGCAAGACGTTTATTTTTTTCTGGTGGATGAAATTAATTGTATTATTTGTATTCCAGGCAATGGCCTTTTCCCCCCAAGATGATGTCTAACACACCTTTTCCTTGCATTTCAGGTGTCTGTCAGATCAACACTGTCGGAGGATGGTGCACCGCCATCACCATCACCATCACCATCACCAACTCCACTGTAAGGCACTTTGACTTCACAGCAGGGAGCCACAAAGTGGGGCCTTTGTCCTGCAATGTCTGAAAAAGATTTAAGTTTGGAATAATTACACTTTTTGCTGCGAAACACAGCTAGAAAGTTCCCGCAGCGCATCCTCTGATGTGTCATTCTTAGTTACTAAGAATTTATTCTCGCCTGAATCATGTGACATGGAAATAAACAAAGATAAAAAGGGAGGATACATGTTGGAATTTGGCGGTATTGTGATTATAGCAGAAGATGATATAACAGAGAAAGCTGTACACGTGTCTATCCTTGTATTCCCCTAGGGAGTCCCATGAGGCATCATCACAAAGCATGTTTACTTCAGACTTTGATCCCATTGAGTATCTTGGCAGTGGAGCCTACGGTTGGGTTTACAAAGCAAGGCGTAAACTAGAGGAGAAGTATTATGCTGTAAAGATTGTACGCAGTGACAAGTAAGTATGCAGTAAGTTTCAACTCTGCATTATGCAGTATGTATGTACATATTTTGTTTACTGATTCCATGGTTGTTCTCGTTTGGATCAGGAACGCTTTTCGAGAGGTGGTGACATTATCAGAGCTCCTCCACCATAATGTCATCAGATACTTCAATTGTTGGATCGAGAATACAAGATACCAAGACGACATCTCAGCTGGAAGCTCAGCTGGCAGTTACAGCGATACCCAGTAATGTCCACGTCCTAACCTTAAACAGGCAATATATATATAGCATTTAAAGCATATCTTTCATTCAGAGTCAGGGCCAGGAATTATGAACACAGCTCTCGACATGGGGATTGTTGAGCCGACGGCTAGCTGCTAATGGTGCTAACAGCATTAGCAAACAGCATTAGCAGTGCAAACTATAGCAAAGGAGCTGACAGAGCTAACAGTATTACTCGAAGAGGGAAAGTGGAGGGTGGGTGTAACGCTTCCATGTTGGGACTATACAGTCTATGGTTGGGAAACCTTTATCAGAGGTAACGTAAGTCCATAGATAACAGGTACTAACAGGCACTCGTAGCTATCCCAGCAATAAACCAAAGAACAGAGAAGCTTGGATTACAACGCACAGAGAAGACACCTTATTGCTCATTACTATATCTTATCATTTCAAGTAGTATTTTACTGCTATATTCAATATTCTGAATTGTATATATGCCTCTATAAGACTCAAGTCTACCTTTAAGTCAGAGGAGAGTATTTTTATAAATGTTTTTCTTCTGTCTTTCTAGGTCTACAGATGATCCATCTGTAAAGTTCCTTTATATTCAGATGGAGTTATGCAAAACGAAAACACTTAAGGAATGGATTCATGAGAAGAACACTCAGTCTCTGCAAGACACAAAGAGAAGACAAGAAAGTCTAACCATTGCTCAGCAAATAGTCAGTGGAGTCGAATATATTCACTCCAAGGGGCACATCCACAGAGACCTAAAGGTGAGACCAGACTGCAGTGTAACAAAATAATTGGTAGAATAACAAGCCATTATTAGGACACCAAAATGTTAGAATAAGCCAGGCCCTAAAGCATAGGCTGCTGTAAATGGGGTCATCATTTACTAAATGAACATCATTCTGTATTGAAGAAGACTTAAAGGTGGGGTATGTAATTTATTTCAGAAACACTTTTTGTTATATTCCATGGAATGCTCTTAACATCCCGATAGCAATGAATATATGAAATGCTTTGACAATAAATACATTAAAAAAACAAAACTGTAATAAGCACGACCAATCATTTTAGCCGGCCTGGCTAAAATAACTGGATGACCTACCTGCCTGTCAGCCTTCCATTTGTGCACAAACTTATCTCATGCCCTCATTGGTCATGTGCGCGTCCCTGTGTGTTGGAGGAGGGGCTCTGTAAGGAAGTGGCAGATTTTTTCCAGCTGTGTATTTTCAAATTCTAGCGCACTCAAGCTGGTTTCTCCAAAATTACATACCCCACCTTTAAAACTAGCAATCAAATCCATAAAGTCATCAGGAATATATTTACTGAGGTAGTACATCAATGCGAAGCAGGCTCATTTTTCTATGAACTTCTATACAATCAGACCTCTCTTGGAAACCAGTGACCCTTGTGCAATCCAGTCATAAAGATACTAGGGTACTACGTTTGCCTCTCAACAACAATAACACCATGATTATTTCAAAAGTATTAGGCAAGATCCTGCCCCGAAATGCTCGAAGCACAAGACATTATTTTAGCTAGAAGCTTCAGTTCACCTAATATTACCTGTGAATAGGCATTTCAATTAGAATGAGAATAAAATATATCTTAGCCTAAAGATGTCTTATCAAATCGAACAGTCTTCTGAATGTGAGCCACATGTGGTTAAAGATATAATGCTGGTTTAGCCCTTAAGTACAGTTTTTCAAGCTTCTAATTGTATTGCTCATGTGTTCATTTGTTTCAATTATTTTTCTTTCTGTGAAGCCTGAGAACATCCTGTTTGGACTGGATGATAAAGAAGTGAAGATTGGTGACTTTGGTCTGGTCACCAGAGATGATGACCCTTTGATGGACAGAACAGAGAACAGAGGAACCAGATCGTACATGGCCCCTGAACAAGTGAGATGGTCTATTCTGGCAAAAACTCTTAATTCTTCTGTATTCATTTGAACAAATATGTCGTTCGACTGATTTTAATTAGGTGGACTAATTATTTTTCAACTATACCTTTAGTAACTATTACTATATATGCCTAGCACAATAGAGCGGTGCAGGAAAGACTCCTAAAACCTGCAAATTAGTTCGCTTTTTACCATTTCCGGTTCCCTCGCCTCGAAGTAAAAAGATGTTGAACACGTTTTGTTCTACGACAGAAAATACATCAGTAATTTCCCCACTGGTGAAGGTTGAAAGCTTGTATGTGTCATAGAGATAGTGGTTGCTAACAAGTGACTACATAAACTACTAGACTTTATCACGCGGACATGAGTCCTCCTTCAGCTAAGCGGAGGTGACTCTAAGCAAAAATCACATTGCTTTTGTTGAGGAAGCCCTTGGATGCTCACATTTGGATGGGCCTAAGAAAATACAACATCACTGCACCACTCTATGCTCTATTGTTTATTTATCCCAGCCAAACCCTTTCTTACTGTTGGCAATCAGAGCTGTACAATGAAAAATCAGAATCAGAATACTTGTATTCATCCAACAGAGGGGAAATGTACATTTGTTACAGCAGGTAAAGAGCCAAAGGTAGCTTAATATGAATTTAAGAAGCATGCATACAAATATGAAAGATAAAGTAGAAATTACACATCTTACTAAATACGAATCCAGTACAAGTGAGATACAATATGTAAGAACTTTATTGCCAATAGAACAAACTGTGAATTAAGTGTATCTACATGCATAAGCCATGAAACAGAACTTGAAGCCAGCATGACTTGCTAATCTTTCCCTATGAGTTATATTAGTATAACATCAGGCAATTCTGTGTTTTTATTATTTCACAAAAGGTGGGGAAGACCTATGATCGAAAAGTGGACATATTTGCTCTGGGGTTGATATACTTGGAACTCCTGTGGAAAGTCTCTTCTGGCCATGAAAGAGGAGAGGTGAAGTATACAGACAAAGACTTGCCACCACAATGTTACCATATTTTTTAGGCTTTTCTCTTGTATTTATATGCAACATTCAACTCAATTGTTGTTGAATTATTCGTTTGATTCGGGCTAACTAACATGTTCTTTCATCCTTTTATCACTGCATGAATACCAGGTTTTAAAAAATGCAAGAAAACAGATTCTCCCAACAAACTTTTCACGGGCCTTCCAAGAAGAGGTATATTACAATGTTCTTATGATCCGCAGTAAATTACCTCCCACATGAGGCAGTACTTTTTTTACAACAGCTGTCCATCTCTATAGGTGGGGGACTTAAACATAACTGCTGCTGTTTATACTAATAACAAGCAGAACAAATAAAGTATTTTAGAAAATAGCAATCTAAGTTTTTTTTTGTTAGAACTGTTATTATATAGCATGGCAACACAATAGTGTTTGTACACAGATCTCAGTTAAAGGTGTTTTTTTGTTGCAGAACCTAATCATCAAGAAAATGCTGCATGAGAAGCCAGAGGATCGACCTGAAGCAAGTGAACTGAAGGCACAGCTGGACAAGTTGGCTCAGACAGAAAATGAGCCTCAGAAAAGGGCAACTGTGTGATTATCACAACGAATTGTGACAAGTCTTATGAGGGTAATGAGATCTGTCTGTAATCTGTGGCCTGTACTCAGGGGTTAAATTGGGCTGGGGCTGTCCGGGGCTCAGCCCCGGCACATAGGACGATGCTCTGACGTCATCACCCTCGCTCATTTGTCATTTGTTTAAGCCATATGTTAAAACATCTCTCGTTCTTAATATAGGCAAGGCAAGGCAAGGCAAGTGTTAAGTTTATTTATATAGCACTTTTCTGTACGCGACAATTCAAAGTGCTTTACAAAACAAATGAAAAGACTTTTTATGAATAAATACAGTAAAAACACATTATATAATGGCATTTTACAACAGGCATTACAAAGCAAAGATAATAAAATAATAAAAATACGCGTGCGTGCGTGCGTGCGTGCATGCATGCGTGCGTGTCCATCAGGGCCGGTTCTAACCAATTTGCTGCCCTAGGCGAGATTTTAGTTGGCGCCCCCAGCCCCCCCTCGTTTAGTAGAAAAGATAAAAGTATCCAAGGAATACACAATAGAATATATAAAAAAATAAATGACAAATCTCTACAAAAGATAAATACACTACAAAAACAGAAACTTATTGACATAGGTAATATACATAAAAAAGCTTAAAATGTATTCAGTATTGTATGAACATGTTTTAATTGGGGTGTGGACGTCACATCCTCTAGGGGGGTCTTGGGGTATGGCCCCCGGGAAGAAAGGTTTGAAAATGTAAAGTAAAATGCTTCAATCTGGTGCACTTTAAGCACACAATTACTAGAGACTAGATCTAGGGGGTACAACTCTAAAACTCCCAGAGCTGCCAGCGCAGCGCCCCCCCAGATCTGGCGCCCTAGGCGACAAAAACCGGCCCTGTACACCATGCTAAATGTATGTCTGCATAAAGCTGAGTTAAGATCGGTCATAATAACACACAGAATTTGGTGATGATTAAATAGTTTACAGTGAGATTTACTCCCATACTTTTGGCCATACTCACGCAGCCCTACAAATGAATTGAGATTTCCTCACAAATGTTCTTTAGCAAGTGTGCAGAGCAGTGTTGATTTAAAAAAGCAATTTGAAGGTTGGATATTTGTAAACCTTTTTTTGTGTATATATATTAATAATTTAAGATGTAAATGAATTCCAGTTTATTTGTAGTACTTTCTATTTTTATTGTGACATTTGGTGGCATCAATGTGTGCATTTGATATATAATGGAGCAGTTGCTTTACGGCCACAGTGTATATCCCTTAAGGTCAAATAATGAGATCCTCGACCTCCGCCCCCCTCTCGCACCTCCACATATCAAATCTCGATTTAACCCCTGCCTGTACTACGAAGCCGGATTTTCGCTTAGCGAGGTAACTTCAGGGTTAACTCTGGGTTTCCGGTCCTACGACGCTGGTTCACTTCTTACCGGGGTAGATCTCCATGGTAACTTATGCTCAGTGAAAGCACCGCCTGCTGACCAATCAGAGCTCAGTGTGCAGAGTTTAAAGCTATCAAGTCATATTACAGGATAAAGGAAATACAGTTTAAACTGCCGTTGCAGGAAAGACTGCCGGCAAAAATCACCGACTGTGAACGTGAAAATTAATGGAATATCACCTCCCATCGTCAGAGCAATCTAGAAAGCTTACTTAAAGTGGACCTATCATGCTATATTTAAATGATATATTGTAGGGCCATACCTAAGGTATATTTATATGTTTCTGTTTTCAAAATACCAAACAGATCATGCATTTTAGCCATGCCTCATTTCGCTCTATTTGCTGTTCTCCAGCCCTGTTTTTGCAGGGGGCTGATTCTGTGAGCTGCAGCTGACCACGCCCCCCTGCAGGAGAGGGGAGCCGCTCTGATCAAGTCAGAAGAGGGGGAGAAAAATAGATCTCCGTCCTCCGTGTTTTATTATAGCCTATTATTATTATATAGAGTCGTTATTCATTTGTTTTAAAGCTCAATAAATAACAAAGAAGACCTTTGACCGGCACTTTTCTCATTTTGTCCGGAAGATTTAAACTTTAACGGACATCTTGACCGGCGAAAGAAAACCGAAACTCTGCCGCACGGTCCCCTCGTTCCTTGGAAGAGGCGGAGAGGTGGGTGTTTGTCATCTGCTGGTGGACTAACCGGAGAGAATTACAGTGCTTGCCTCGACGGGGAGGGATTGCATTGAATTAAAGCAGCAGGAGCAAACGCTTGCCTCGGGGAGGGAGAAAAAAAGCCACAGCGGAGAATAAACAGAAGGGTAACCATGCGCACGAAGTCTTCTTCGCTGCTTTTGTGGCAGACTACAGCGCCACTTACAGGCCTGGCATATGTACTACAGCGTCTCCAGCGCTTTCGAGCGGCAATGGCCGGCTGTGGCCCAACCCCATATTCCCCTGATAGGTGGAGAGTTGGCCCAATAGCCGTAGCGCCACCGTCCTGACGTCAGGACAGTGTTCAAATCTGGATCAGTTTTTATCAGATCCGTTGCAGCCCCTTTTTTTAGAGATTTGGGTATGGAGGAAAATAGAGAGGGTTGTGTTTTCTGACACTTGGTGAGTTCCCTGGAACACCGGGGACCAGGGTTCGAGTTATAAACTGAGCTCTATGGGGGTCTTTGAAACTAACGCGTGCGCACACGTTCACGCGCACACACACTCAAACTCAATCACACACACACACCAATAATAAACATATGGACAGGGGTTACTATTTAAAAAAAATTGCAAATGTATTTGGGAACCTATCCATGTGAACATATTTTGGGGGTGGACCTCAAATCCTCTAGGGGGGTCCGGGGGCATGCCCCCCCTGGTAAGATATTTTTTTAATTTTGGAGTTAAATGCATCAATCTGGTGCATTTTGAGGGGAAAATAAAGAGACCAAATCTATGGAAACACCCATATGAAACAGATGCCACATCATGTAGACAGACAGTCACCCTGTGTGAGGCAAACCCACATTTGCGCAGCGTTGCGTTCACAATAGCCTACATTAAAAAAAAAAAAAATCGCTAGGCCATCGGGAAACCTCCCGGCCCTCCCGATGGCCAGTCCGGGCCTGCCAGCAGCCCTCTACTTTCTACAAACTTAAATATGAAAACATAGCCGTGGGAACATGTTTCAAATGGGGGGTGCTGTGGGGATGACACCAGGGCCGGTTCTGACCAATTTGCTGCCCTAGGCAAGATTTTTGCTGGTTCATTTATATCTTATTTTATCAGTTAACATTTATTTATTCATCCATATTTTTTAATCTCTCCAGTTTCAAAGGATATTGTTGGTTTACTGTCCTATAGTATACATGTGCCAAGAGCAAGGACTGTCTTAGGTAAGACAGCTTTTATGTGCGCAGCTCCACTTGCTTGGAACAATCTTCAGCAAGAATTGAAACTGAGCAATCTCATTCCTCTGCATGTTTTTAAAGCTAGGCTAAATGAAATGCTCGTTGATACTATGGGTACTTGTAAATATCTATAACTATGTAAATGTATCCTGTAAATATAATGTATGATGTCCTTTATTGTTTTATGTTTCATGTGGAACCTATATGCTGCAGGTCTCCCTTGAAAAAGAGATCTATGATCTCAATGGGACCAATCTGGTTAAATAAAGGTTTGAAATGAAATGAAATGACATTGGAATGATTTCAAACCTGTTTTTATTTATCCTAATAATTACAATGGTGTGCCTTGGAAATATTTGTTTACATAAATTGTGATAAAACCGTTTGAGACACACTGAGATAACTTAGACTAAAGTGAACTATCTAAACACTCAGAGTCCTTTACCTCACTGAGCCTCTCAGGGCAAATGGAAAATGTAACCGGGGTGAAAAGGGTGTTACCTTTACTTAATTATGAATGTGAACAGTTGTATCAACAGCTTTTACAATGTGCTGCTGACTGCTGGAAAGTGGTTTTACTGTATTTGTTTAGTCCATTGTGCTAATGCAGGTGGGGCCGACCAGTTATACAAGAGGTAGATAATAGCTGTACTTTTTTTTATGAGCCACATGCCATGATGCACCAACATAATTGTATTATTTAGACTGACATTAAGAAGTTGAATCAACTCATTACAGAGTGAGAGAAAGAGGCAGACATCAGACATAGTGATATGAGTGATAGTGAAACGTTTTAACTTTCATTTAGCAAAAAATAGCATGAAACTTTACATGCAAGTTCCAAAGTAACTTCCTGAAATGTAATTGTCTGCGGTGATTCTACGGAGTCCCCAAAGGCCCAAAATTGTGCACACAAAACATATTTTCGGCTGCCCGGGCCTAAGGAAGTAGCTCTACTTATGAAATCTCTGTTAGTTTAAACTCCCACTTCACTACTTTACATTAAAAACAAATAGCTTATAAAATGTGGCACGGCATTATTGATAAAGCTACATATTAGTCTATAAAATAGTTACATCATACTTATCTTAACCAGCAACACCAATAAAATACTGCTTCACATAAATGCATCGCAAATAATCATCAGTTTTTATTCAATGCATATAGAGGCAACTGAACCACACATCAACATTTCATCCATGCATTTCTTCACTTGTCAGTTGTTGTTCAAGCTCTCAAACAAACAAGCGGGCAGTACATCACATTGGCTCTTTTTGCTGCTACTTTGACAACATGGTTGCAACCGGTTTTGTTTTCGTGCTGTTGATGCCAATTTTCATTTTTTTATATAGTGAGTTGATGATTTCATAAACTAAGAGTGAGGTACATTTTCGCCTCGCAAATTTTCCATCCAAATGAAGCAACATTTCTAAATCATTTTCAGACAAATTTGACTACACATGTTAGTGTTGTTAGATCTTATTGTCTTATATTTTTGTACAGCACTTTGAATTGCTTTGTGTTGAAAGGTGCTATATAAATAAACTTGCCTCGCCTTGCCTAGTGATGACTCAAAATCTACTAGGATTAATAAATGTCCAAAGTGTCTATTACGTTAGTAGGAAATCCAACCTAGAGCAATTGAGCATTGGAATAGAACATGTTTCATAAGGCCCAATGAGAACAAACACGAGGCAGAATCTAAACAGGAAAGTGTAAAAACATGTTGAATCATTAAACATCTGATAGAACAAGAACAAGACACACCTAGTTTTTGTTTTTCTAAAAACAAAACAATGAGGTA